CTTATAATGGGTATTTAGAATGCTCACACTTCTGTTGGGAATATTACGGGGTCATTAGTTGCATCAATATATTGAAATACGGATGGGTTGGAATTCTTTATTTGTTCTTTTTCGTTGGAATTCTTTATCTGTTCTTTTTCAATTTCTCATTGTGCCTTGCCCATAACATACGTGATTTATTATAAATGCTACACACTTTCATTCTTATCACAATTGAAAAGTATTGTTCTTTCATCTAAATAGTCAGGGGTTAACCAACCTCAAGTGGTCCTTATTGGATGGAGCTTTCCATTTGACTCTTCCTAAAGAGTCTCATGATCTGGATACGGATAGCCAAGATTGTTTTGATGAAGAGACCAAGATTTGCTGGAGGAATTTGAGAAAGTTGCTACTTATGGAGGAAATGGAAGTAGCAATTGTATTCGAATATTCAAGCGCAGGGCTGAAAAAAAGGCGAGTCTTCTTAACTACCTACAGTTGAGTTTTGTTTTTTTTCCCTCACAATCTTGACTGTTCTTATGTTGTTCCATAATAGAAAATATCTTCCTTTTTGGAGATATTCGATTATTGAAAAAGAACATTTTCTTGGGTTCCCGAATGAATGGAACAATCTCACTTGGTAGTTAAGGAACTAGGGAGTAGGGAGAATAAATTAGCAAAGATGGTATGTTGGTTACTCCAGCTCTTTTGTTGCCTCAACGTTCCAGATTTACAAGTAAATTAATATGTACTATGTGTTAGTTTACCTGAAACAACTATTACTTTAACCACATGATGTTGGTTGATCTTAGTAGATACTTTTACAACTATTCGGATTTGACATTACATCTTAGTATGATCGTGAGAAATAATAGAGGCTACGATTCCAAATGCCTCTATGTAGTGTGTTATGCTTGGTGAGGTTTGTCATCTAGATAAGTGATTTTCTTTTTTTCCTTGCTATGTGAATTCCAATATCCATTTGCATATGGAATTAGAACAAATGAGCATGTTTATTATTATTACAGCACACATGTTATTCTGTGTTACTAAGCTCCTGTTAAAGCTAATAGTAGTTAGTTTTTCTTATATGGATTTCTATTGTAGTACATTTCATTTTATGTGAAAAACAAAGTACACAGAGAGCTAGCAAGTTGTAATAAATAAAAATGATCCTCTGTTCCCTGAAGTTTCATTTTGCATATTTAGAAATGTTCACAAATATAGTATTCTTGACGAAGAAGATGTACTATAGACATTACTATAATCGAGGCACTAAGAAGTTATAATATTAAGATGTAAAGCAGGGATAGTACACAAAGAGCTAGCAAGTTGTACATAAATAAAAATGATCCTCTGTTCCCTGAAGTATCATTTTGCATATTTAGAAATGTTCACAAATAGAGTATTCTTGAAGAAGAAGATGTACAATAGACATTACTATAATCGAGGCGCTAAGAAGTTATAATATTAAGTAAAGAAGGATGTAATTATGTCGACTTAAAAAATAGAAGACATGTAAAGCTGTAATGTAATGTCAACAAAACTATATGTTATGGCGCAGGCCTCCGTTAGCTCTAAGATCTTAAACTTGACATTACATACATGACAGATCGTACCAATTATAAATCAAAGTCACTTGGAAGATGTTTTGTCGTTATTTATTTGTCCGTTGGTATGCTCATCTCTTACTCAATTTTATATATGTTGGATTGTTTCATTGATGCCCTAAAATGTTTTATGATAGTGCTTTCTGAAATATCTTATCGTAGTACTTTCTAGCTGGTCTGCTTGATTACAAGGTAGTCATTTTTTCTTTTGTTGAATCTAAGTAGTTGTAGACTTCCATTGAAAGATGAAAATTCACAAATTGAATATTTTCTACTTGATGTGCTTTTTGTCTTTAATTTCAAGCTTTTCTGTTACATGATCAATCCTATTAGTTTTGTTCATTACTAAAATGAATCGAATCCTATCAAATATTTCTATTTCTCCTTTGAATTACTCATATATCCTATGAATTTCATTTCGCACCGGAAACTATCCTAGGAGAAGTTCGAATCTGTTCCGTTCGGATATTGATTGGTCTTGGTTTGACATGGTTTACGCGTTACTTGTTAAGAGTTAATATCTCCATTAGCTAATTTGGGATAGATGAAGTGGATCTATTGTGAAGTTAATCTGGAATTGATTTCCTCGATCTACTATCTGATTCTATTTCAAATGGCTTTAAATGGTGTACAATATTTACAATTCAAAAGAAGTAAGTATTAATTGACTTGATTGACGGTTAACGAAAAAGAAAAAACCTAGAAAATCGGATAGTAACTTTGCATATGACAGCTTAGAACCTAATAGTACTGGGGAGTTAAATATGTAACCAATTGTTAAATATAAGTAATAACTGTCAATATAAAGAATAGGACAAATTACTTAACTACACTTCTTTACTTACCTTAATATCCATTTATCCCTAATTTCAAAAATTTCAAAAATCCCTTATTTTACCTATGTATCATGTGCACAACGCTATGTATCCCCGCTATGTGAAATGTATCAAACGCTATGTATCCCGTGCACAACGCTATGTATCCCGCTATGTGGAATGTATCAAACCTAACGTATCCCGTGCACAACGCTATGTATCCCGCTATGTGGAATGTATCAAACCTAATGTATCCCGTGCACAATGTTATGTATCCTGCAAACATCATTTTTAAGGGATTTTTGGTAAATAGAAAACTAGAAGGGATAGGATGTTATTTAGTACTTATAATATGCGGTTCGTATAATTTATACTAAAGAATAACACAAAATAAGCAATTCTACTTCAAGTCCATTTCCTTTTTATTTCTTTCTATCTATGATCTCTGCCCTCTAATTTTAATTTGCAGTTTTTTCGTGGTAATTGCCAAAGCAATTGCTATGTTCATTGCTTTGATGTGTGGATGACAAACAAAAAAGTATTTGACTAATTAATTCTTGATTTTCATCACCTTCTGCAATTATCTTTTCCAGAGAAGCGCTTTCTAGGTATACTCTTAACAGAGGTGTTGATATTTGACTCACGCGCAGAGGATGTTGAGCTTAAGCACATCTAATGGAATTACTTCATGCTTCTACAGGTACTGTCATCTTTTGTCAAAAACTGCAAGAAACAATTATGAACATTATGCATGCACTGTTTCTCTTCTATAATACTCACTAATATTTATTTTTAACTTTCTTCTTAATTTCATTTTCTTTTAGTTGATTGGTGTTTACCTTCTTCGGGATGGTATTTCAAAACTTTTCCTTATATTGTTTTCAAAATAATAAAGAAGTTTGATGACTTTAATGTTCTTGTGATGAATTAGAAACTGTACAAACAATATCAATGATTTTGAGTATTTTGTCCAAGTGATATATTTATATCTTTTTCATATTGTAGTTAAAAAGTATTGTACTATCAAAGATGTTTATAGAAGTTATTGTTGATGGTTACGACTACTTCACACATAAATGAAAGTGATATGTTCCACTTTCATTTAAATCCAATTCCATCCACAATGTTAAATGGAATTGTATAGTATCTCTACTTTTTTTGGTGTAAACAGCTTTGTATAGATGATATAGATCAGATTATAGATTTGATAGGAAATCTGTAATTATCCCTTTTTGGAGGTAGCCATCATTAAGAATTCAACCTTACCAGTTTAAAAAAAAAAAAAGATATGCTCCACCCATGTTGATACATAAGATAATTATTTTTAATGAATTTTCTCAGTGATATTTGACTATCAAGTTCAATTATATGATTCTCATGATTTTGCCTCGGGGTTTCATAAATTTCTTTCTTCCAAGAAGGAAATTTAATTGCTTGATATGCTGAAGTCTTAACCTTTTCATTTCAGATGATTGAAAGTATGTGGAATAAATAGCTCTGAGCTAATCTATAAATGGTAATAGAACAACCTTTGAGGTCTATACATTTGCTTAAAGGTTAGATCTTCTTATATATATATATGAGAGAAACATAATTTGAAAGGCTCATCTTACTTATTATGCAGGTTATAGTAAAATATGTTGCTTTTGTAAAATGCTTGACCAAGAGGATTATGACACTATGTGGAGTTGTCATTGTCATGCGTCTCTTTTCTAGCTCCGTTGGACCTCGAAAGCTTTATATTACTGAGATGGATATTTATGTTCTGAGGAAACAGAAAATGATCAACGATGGAGCTTCAGAGATCTTGGATGGATTCTGTCTATCTATGTATGCCTAAAAAGGTTTTCTTTAGTGTAAACCTATGTTGTTTGAATTCTTCAAAAATGTCCTAGGAATTTGTTTCAGATTTATCAAAAGTAGTGTATTTTTGAAAAATCCGACACGGATGAAAAGTGAAGAATTTGTGAAACTAAGGTGTAAACTGAAGTACACATCAAGCAATTTACTTATATATAGAATTTGCTAGCGTGTCAATATATTAAGATATACGAGCTATGCAATTTTAACTTTTATGTTTTCTCCATGTGTTGCATTTTCATTCTTCTAATTTTTACAACTTATCCTTCACCACTATATAACTATGCAAAACATCTTTAAACTGATAACGGATCGAAAATATAGATGTTAGCACGGGCCTTGCCCATCTAGTATATATATATATATATATATATATATATACTAGATGGTAATGGCACGTAACATGATTATTAAAAGTAACTCTGCAGATTTCCCTTATTTCTTTGACATGTTATTGTCTTGGATACTAATGTGATATCATAAGTTCAATGTATCATATTATTCTTAATTTTGAAACGATGATATGCAATTTTTCAGCCCTCATGCCATAACCATTTTACTCATAAGGTAGAGCTTGACTTCGCGTTTGAATTAGTCATGTTTTCAAATTAAGTTGACATCTCTATTCAGTTGTCTTTTAGTTAAACCTGCCCTGATAACTTTAGACACTTCAGTAATATTCTGTCTAGATAGTAATGTTTATAGGTTCTTTTTGAACACCAAACACAAGAGACCAAAAGAAGAAATGTAGTGAGTTTATCTACTGCAACGTTCTATCCATACTGAACAGAAATACATATATGGGAATAACCAAAAGACGGTGCATAGTGAACAAAAACTACACTGGGTCTATGTATGACACAAGGTAGACCAGAATGTCAAAAGGAAAGGGTGTTCTATGGTTAAGACCTAATACATGTCCTTCTCAAAAAGTCACCTCCACATTGTCTGCAGTGCACACTACACTGGTGAACAATGCTTCACCATTTCATTAATGCCAAAGACTTCAGTCCACTAATAACAAAACATCTTGCTTCACATAAATTTTTCTAGGGCAACTGGGTCATTCTTATACCTGAAATGAGAAAAAATAAATGATGACAAATTAAACCAATGTGCGCAATACAAAGGTCTTAAAAGCAAACATTTCTTGTAAATGTCCGTTGTGCATGTTTTCTTGCATGGTCATCATACTTAGTAATTATTGTACTAATTCCATATTTTCTCTATTGTTACAAGTGTTGGTGGTGGAAAGTGAAGAGATCTTTTGAGGAAGCTTGGGATATTGACTCTGCTCAAGAAGCTTGGTATGTACTCATATATTCGAGGACATAGTTGCTACCTTTCTAGTATTTCCACTTAGACATTGTATAAGACTTATATTTGATTTATTGGACTTAGAGCTACTAAAATTATCATTAAAAAATGTTTAAAAAGAAAATACTTGCTGATATAGAAGCACCATCTATTGACTACAGTTTTCGAGTATTTCCTGGGAGTAACAATGTCACACAAGTAAATATGAGAATTAAGAAAGGTGTCTTCTTCTTGCCAGTTAAAAAAATATTTCAAGTAGACCCCCTTCATGTAATTAACCTCACTTGGTACAGTCAGATGCTAAGTGCTCAAGTCTATGTTAGTGTTCTCTCTTTTATCATATATCACGAGACATATATACAATTTTAAGCCAATTGATAGAACATAGAACTTAGGATAGCATATCGTAGAGCATTCATAGATGTAGAATGAACATTTAAGCTAATCTTTACCAGCTTTCTATTTCTTGATTTAGAGTATTGAATCTTGAAACTGCATTGTGCTTTACACATGCATGAAACAATTACTCTAGTTAAAGCTAACAAAACAGTTACTCAAGTTAAAGCTAAATGTTGGAAGTCTTGTGTTTGAATTAAAAAATACTAAAAGTAAATGTGAGTCTAAATTTCTTTCACCTTGCGATACATGATCTCATAGTAGGCCACGAAAAGTAAGATGGTATAGTCATGAAAGTGCAACCAAACTTACACTACTACAGTTAAAAACAAAGATTAGAAGTTTTGTTTATGAATTAGAAATACTAAAGGTAACTCTTCTTGAAGTCATTAATCTATCAGACAATAAGCTAACAGGAAGTATCTCTGCAAGCATAGGGGAGTGTTCTTACTTGAAAGCTTTAGAGTTAGGGAACAATGATCTGTCTGTCTCAGTTCAAATTGCACTTAAATGACAACAAATTGATCCAGATCCAACAAACTAACTTATTTTATGTAGGTATAAGTTCTTTTAGCTATTGACTTAAATTAAAGATCAACTCATTTAAAAGACAAAAATAAAGACTTGCAAAAGCTCTTTGTTCTCAGCTATAGCATATTGATCATTTTCTTTTCCAATACTTATCTATTTGTTTTGGGAAATTGATGTTATTGCTGTAAAGATTTATTATGCATATGAAAACATCCACAGATCACATAAATAAGAGAAAGTAAAATTTAACCAATAGGTAGAGAAGGAAAGTAAATTACAAGTAACATATGCGAGAAGAAACAAATAAGATGTACTGACATACATACTTATGTTCTATTTTAAATTGTTAAATTATTGTAGTTTATAGCACCGTTGAAGTATTTTTTTTAAATATATAACAAATTAAAGAGGAGAAATAAGACCAATAGATTAGAACAATTGAAGGCAGTAAACTAAGTACATGGCAACCAAATGTTTTCCAGCTGTTTTAATATTAGAGGGAAAAATCATGAAAGAAAGCAAAATAGGCTAGAAAAGAAAGCAGCACCTTTTGTTTTCCTATTGTTCGTCGAAACTCCCAACAAATAGCAGCTCGCGTGCAAATCCAGCAAGTGACGTTCACACATAAATTAAAAAACAAAATAAATAAAAATTGACTCCAAGTAGAAGGTGGTAATTTAGGATAGAAAAGAAAACATTGAATAACACATAAACCCAGCAAATCAAGCCAAAAACGCACCACCAGTAAGAAAGTTTAGCAAATCTAAGAAGCAACAATTGAGATTGAAAAGAAAACCCACAATATCCATGAAGAGAAAACACGGGAAATGAGATGTACCCTTTCCTTGTTGTTGTAAGGAGCAAACCTTTCTAAAATTGGGATGAAATGAAGCTGTTGTTCTTCATGGAACATAAAAGTAGGATTTTGAGAATAAAAGATGTGGAAGTTTTTAGATCCACTGTGTGGATCTTTGGAAACATGCGGCAAGCAAAAATAGAAATTGGAAAAAGAAAATTACATAATTGTCCTTAATCTGGAAAAAAAGAAATTTACATGTAACATATCTAATTTCAGCCTTCTGCCACGTTTCCTATCCATTTGTTTACCTTGCATTAATAGCTCCAAAATAGTAAGAGAACTCTTCAATGTTAGTGACATCCTTGTTATAGCATTTGGTGCCACACCTGGCTCAAACATGTCAGCCACTTCTCATGTTTAATGCAGTGATCCTCAAGTCCCATCTCTCGCAATAATAGATGGTAGAATAACTATAAAATTCAGAATTTGAAAATTTTTGGACGCCATGTAAGCATTTGACAAAGAAGGATTATCATCATCCTAAAGAGTAACCAATAATTATGTTAGCTTCAATTCATATGACTAATATGCTATACCTATTAAATTTGTGAGATTCAAGAACACTAAGTTTCAACCTAGAGTAACAAAAATCAGAATTCTCCCTGCAATTGGAAAACATGAAGCAGGACAAAGAAGAATATAAGAAACATATATGAAAGTCGACAATTGGAAAATTGTTATTAAATCTCACTCAAGGTTCAGATAAGAGAATCAAGCTGAACCACAGAGGAATCATCAATTAATTTAACTTGTTGGCCTTGCCAAAGACAATTGGAAACCAAATATAATAAATATGTTAGAAATATTTTCTTGTTTGGTGGGTAATACAAATGTATTGGGGAGATGCTTGACAACCACTATTGATCTTTTTATAAAAATGCAAGCAGGGATGGTTGTGAAGCCTATATAGGTAATCTTCAGGGCAGAGTGGAAAAAGGAGGAAATTCTCGATAAGGATCAACAGAAAAGAAGAGAGCAACCATACTTTTCAAGCTAGTTCAGATAGCAATAAGAGACCAGGCAAATGTTTCATGCAATAGCATGAAAGAATTTCTACTAAACTGAAGAAGCAGATGACTCATCGGGTCTTAGAGTCTTTCATACAGTAGAAGAGAATACCTTTCATATGAATCTCATATTTACACCAAATACTCAAAAAAATTCAAAATTAAGTCGGAAAAAGTGAACTTGAAATGCACAAACAGAATAACATCTCAAATAACTTAATATGTTTGAATATCAACATATTAACCTTATTCAAACATAATAATCAAACATCTCACATGAACTAATATGCTTCGATCTAATTAATCAAAATGTTGAGGTATAATGGATAAAGATTACAATTTAACAGGGTGAGAAAATAATAAAGTAAGATGTTCAGTGTATACTACCTAACCTGAAACTTTATAGTTGACCAACCGTGTTTGTTATTAGGTTGCGTCGTCTCATAGGTTGCTATTTGCCTATACTACTCAATTCAGTGACATTCCGACGTTGGCTTATGTAATTTATTTGCCACCTTATTTCCTTGACAGAAGACTTGATGGTGTTGTGGTAACAAAGGAAATGAACTACATCATATGGAGAGCGTAAGATGATACATCCCATATGTAGATGCATAAAAGAACTGGAAGTAATAGAGAAAAGTGATGAAGTGACCAACAACAACAACAACATACCTAGTGAAATCTCACAAAGTGGAATCTGAAGAAGGTAGAGTGTGCACAGGCCTTACCACTACTTCTCCGAAATATAGATACAATTTTCGAGATAGGGAAGCATTAACTGATGAAGATCAACATGCTGCTTGAGGTCTGTTGGAGCAATTGGCAGAATAAATAAATATTCAACAATGAAATGTAAACCAAAGGACTTTATATATAAAAAAAAAATAAGAAACTGAGAAAATTTCAACATCAATAGACTGTCATGAAGTGCCATTTCCCTTCCCTTTTTTTGTCCTCCATTTTGGGCTATATATTGAATTATTCAATCATGTAAATAGTCTAGCAACAAAAGTCTAAGCTACAATTTTATTGTTGTCATTACGGTAATAATGGAAATGAAAATGAAGAACTCTAGATATCATATTAAAGGTCAAGAATGAAACAATAAGCAAATATTTTCTTTTTGTTTTCTACAAGGAAAAAAGAACTTATCATAGCATAAAATACTCGAGAAGAAGCTTGATAAATATAAACGTATTACATGTTCTCTCCTATTGCGGAACATAGAATTTCATTAACTTACCGATGGTGTTGAGTGACACTTTCACACCTCGAGTTTCATCAGCTTTGTTTCCCCTACTACAAGCTCAATATTTTTTTCCCTGTAAACTTAAATCTTTGAAATTAGAATAAATTACCTTACTAAAACGGGCAAAGCCAACTATAATTTAGATTACAAATTAATCGAAAGGCAATCAAAATAATTGACACAACATGAATCCATTACTAACTTGTGAAAATTTTACTCAGAGAGCATGTTCGATTCTTCTTAGTAAGGACTATGCAATTGACACAAAATAGTGAATGAGTACATGCATATACAAAATCAGTTTAAAAAAATCCGAAGGCCAACAATGATGGAGAACGAAAGAGAACACCAAAAAACCCTAGAACAATACCCACTGCAATCTTCTCTGATCTCCAAAACCTCGCTGACCTCTCCAAAAACGTCCTTTTAGGAATCAAGAAATTTGACACCAAATATTCAAAACAAAACATGCATGAGTAGACACAACTAATTGTAGAATAATCATTACAGAATTCATATCTTCTAAAGTTACTAAATTAGTAGTGACGCGAAAACATAAAATTTCAGCCATTGAATTGTTTTGGGAGAGAAGAGGCAAAATCGTCAAAGCAATACTACCTACCCATTAGTGATCAGGGAGAAAAATTCGAACCAAAATTGAAACCTCTGAAAAAGAAATCGACAAAAAAAATAGATAAATCAAATCCCAAGCCAAACAGGAGCAAATAAAGATAAATACTTGATGAAGAGTTTTGGAGGAAGAGGTTGATTTTGATTTCGTAAATTAAATAGGAAAAGAGTAGAGAAAACAGGGACACATACATACTACTTGGCTGGAATATTAAAACTTTTATTCAATGACTAAAATATCCCAGCACATAGTACAATTTTTGTGGCTGTGTTCAGGAGTGCACGTGATTTGCTTACAAACTAAATAACAATACACGTGTCAACAGGGAAAAGATGAAGGCCCATGTATAAGGTACCATCCACAGCTTTTGGTACAACTTGTTAAAGCTGTGTTGGTACATCAAACTCCCATTTCTAAATATGATGATGATGATGATGATGATGACGACGACTAGGGGGTGGAGTAAGCAAAAAAAAAGAAGAAGACTAGGGGGTGAGTGCCCGTGCCAGTTTGATATCGACGTGAAAATAAAGAAGGCATCGTTATGTTTTAAATATATTACATAACTTTTGTGCAAGGTTATACAAAAAGCTTGCTGTGAAAGAGAAAAAACAGATGTTAATGTTACAGTTGCACGTAGGGCTGTTGAAGTTGGATTTTGAAATGAATCAACAAAAGTGGTCTGGTGTCGTTATCTGCCAAAAAAGGTCAAGAGTTTAGCTGTCCCTGAGAAGGTGATTATATGGAAAAGTTTGTTGACCTTTGTATCATGGTAGAAACTGTGCAAAGACCATAACAGTATATTAATATAAGTAAATATGTAGAAAAATGGAGGAACTTAGGTAAAATAAAGAACAACACAGTATATTAATATAAGCCAATATGTAGAACACAGAAATGGAGGAACTTACGTTTGTCAGTGAAGAGAATAGCCTTTGTTTCCTTAGCTGGAGAAATGTGAGCTCCAAAATCCTACAGAAGGTGAAGTAACCATCCATTATATCAGTCAGAACTAAAATTTAAACGAAGATTTTATTTCTAAAATTACTCTAATTAGCAGAAAAGTCAAATGGCAGGTCAACGGAAATAGCAAAAAGGTAAAAGTTCAAATAATAGATTCATGGCACACACAAATATATATGTTGACACATTAGGTTAACATCTTACAGCCTATGATGATTCCCCAACCTAGTTGTCTCTTCAGTAGACAAGGTTTTAACGAAGAAGAGCTTGTTGTTCTTTCTGGTTGGCCACTTTAACGTGTGCTGCAAATTTTAAAAAAACTCTCCTTTCTTGTTGAATTATGTTGCACTCATGTATTGAGCAGGCCTTTTTTTAATGAACTTCCAACAACATAGAAGTCACATAAACTGGAGGTTACAACTTGAAACTTCCTTTTCAGCATACATAGACATAGATAGACAGCTGCTAGGGACCAATCACAACGTAATAATCTAGGTCAAGCAAACATTGTGGCATATAAAATTGGTATCCAGGAAAAAGGACAATTTCTATTTATAGAGCAAAACACTAACACAGCAAAGCAAGAAACCCCGAAAAACAAAACAGTGAGGAATAGATGATTCAGTCAACAAAGTCAATATTACAGCTTCAATTTTTTCTACTCTAATTACATACAATTCAAGTCCGTAAGTTCCTAGATTATCAGATCCACATTTGACAAGTAAATTGAAGAGATAATGGAAGCAAACACAATTGAACTATTACTTTTTCGTGAGTCACGCGTGGACATTTGGTTGTTCATATAAATTTTTCGCTAGTTTCAACTATCAACATCTATGTATCACTTTTAATAACTCTTTCGCTAGTTTAACACGTGAACAATTGGTTGTTCTGAAGTTCTCTTTTTCTTTTGCTACCCATACTATTACCATCTATGTATTATAAGAGAAATACTAATGCTTTTATGTTCTACTGGATACCACTGGACAAATCATACTTAATGTTTGAGAATCAAGAGTCCTAATAGACCAATAAGAGTGACAGCGAAGAAGAAAATAGAGAGAACTAAAGGGTTGTTTATTGATTACAATTACAGTGAGAAAAAACTAACTCAGAATGATATCGTCACCTGAAATAACAACCTACTAAGAGCAGAACTTCGGTATAATTAAACACAGTTGAACTATTACTTTTTCGCGAGATTCATACGTGAACATTTGGTTGTTCTTCTTTTCTTCTCCTACTTGAATTATCACTATGTACATATCATTCGTCAAAGCTTTTTCGCAAGTTTCACCCGCGAACAATTTGTTCTCCCTCTATCCTCCTCCTTTTAGATCTATAGAACGCTATTTACTTCCCTTGACCCTTGCTAATGGAACATACTCTTTGTTTGTGATGCTGATTTTGCCTAATATGGTCCTGTCAATGCATGTTTGGATCAACTAATAGTTGATTAAGTTCAGTAATGACTTATTAGTCTTAATATACTTATTTTGAATGATAATTCCTCTCCGACTTCAAACTTATTAATATCTAATGTAGTTAACGTAGGTGTATCGTTGACGACAAAATTCAACACAACAATACTGATTGATCCGCCTTTTCCACAATGCGAACAACTACAAGCATGGTACTACAACACCCCTTAATATATTCTCACTATCTTTTTTTTACATATCAAATTAACATTACTGTCTGAGACTCAGAGTCCTAATAGACCAATAAAAGTGACAATAAAGTAGAAAGTAGAGAGAACCAGAGAGTAGTTTATCGTCACCTAAAATAACAACCTATAAAGAGAAAAACTTCGTCAACTCCACACTGAACTTCTTTTCATTACTACACGTACCTACTATGTAATTTTAAGTTGAAGTAAGTATAACCGGTAAAACCAGGAACTATATGTCTTACCTATAGAGTACAAACTTGTCACTATATTGTTACAAACGTAAACCTCCAAGCAAACTGTTACTGAAATACAATGAAGAACTCAAGTTGGAAATAGGTAGTTTCTTTATCCCACACCTCAATACTATTATGGAATACATATTTGGGGTTTTCTGTGTCAGAAGAGGATCCTTTTTCCCCCTTCTATTTTTTGTTGGTTAGCATTTTTTATACTTTATATGAAGTTTTGAGGGTTCTAATATTGCAGCTCCTACGTTTTGTCAATTGCTTGAGCAACTCAATAAATTAAAGTTCTTGCAGAAAGGAACTAACTCGGAAGAAAAGAAGTCATCAGTAACTCAATAAATTAAAGCTCTTGCAGAAAGGAACTAACTCGGAAGAACAGAAGTCATCCAACATGATCGAATTAAAGGCAAATAAAAAAAGATTCTGCAGCACGAAGAATTTACAGAAGAAAAATCAGGCGATGCAGAAACATAAACATCTCAAGCCAAAAATGCATAATTGAAAAGATTAACTCTAGCTTTTTGTTTGTTCGCGAAAGAGAACCTCTGAAGACTGAAGAAAGGATCATGAAAGCAAGAAAGGAAAGCAGGCTAGGTAAGAAAGCAACACCTTTTGTTTTCCTATTGTTCGTCGAAATTCACAAATAGCAACCTGTGTTGTTGCAAGCAAATCCAGCAGCCGCAGTAAGAATCTTACTTAATGATTTAGTTGTTTCAGGCATATCATCGAACACCTTTGGTTCATCAATCTTCACCCGAAATTATTACAACTGGATCAAAAGGAGTAAACAGTAATACATGCATACAGAAAATGTAGCAAAATATTATTCGGAACCATGTCAAATTCAAAAGGAAAAAACAAAGAGGAAGAAGCAGTAAATCAAACAAGGAAGCGAAAAGGGCAAAAAGTTATTTGCAAAAACTTGCAACAACAGTGGCAAGAGGGAAAGGAAACCACGTGGAAACCCAATACGTAAGCACGCGGAGCTTGTTAATAGGTCAGATTAGAGCAAAATGACGGAACTATCCCCGGTGCTCCAACGAAACCACCACTTATTAAGAATGATGAGATGATGATGAGTAATAATATAGAATATAGAAGGTTACGTGTCAGCACCACGAAAAATAAATTTTTTAAATAATTAAAAAGTATTTATTACATGTAATAAGATTAAATAATAAATTACTGTTTTATTTTTAAAATAGTTTTTAAATTTAAATGTATGTGATTCATTTTTTTGTAGAAAAATATTTTTAACTATCTTTCCACAACCTCCATATTGATTGCAAAACAAATGCATATAATAATAATAATAATAATTTAACTAAACAAAAATAAAAAGGAGATATTAATTGTTTATCTTTGTTTAAGTTCATGTAAATTTGGAAGTTGGTTTAATATTTCTTTGAGGCCATTCTTTTATGTTTGTTTTTTATTTCTATTTTCAGATTTTAGATTAATTTAGTTTTTTATTATTATTATTATTATTACTAGTATACGTACCGTGCGTTGCGCGGTTACTTGATAAATGTAATCCTAGATATTGATTTAATGATAATTTTAAATTTAACTTATTATAAGATACTATTGTTGAGAGAATGAAAAGGCTTAGCACCTTGATATGCTATAATATAATATTTATGTAAACAAATCAATATATAAGCTTAGTTCATTGTCTAAATTTGATAATAATTATAATAATATAACGTGCATTTTCTATTACCATTACAATCAAAGAGATAGAGTCAAAATTTAGAATTTCGATAGTATTCTCAATAGATAATGATTGCGCACTTTATATACTTGGAATTCTATAACTACGAAAAATAACTATACTACGTAGTGGTAAAATCATTTTTCTATAATGGAAAATTATACAAACTTAATCGGTACATTATACGTGTAATCTAGATATAATAAATTAAACATGCATAATTCCAGAGAAAAAAATTAAAGCTCAACAAAATAAGTTAAAATTAAAGCAAGGTACCAAGAAGAGAAAATTACTAGGATATTGTGTTTAAGACTTTAAATTACTTTATAATAACATATTCATTTTTATTTACAACATTAAGTTTTTTATTACAAATATGACAATGTATAAATAGGGAAAAAGGTATGAAAATACTTCAATTTTGGCCAAAATTGATGTTACGATACCAAACTTTATGGAGGACCTTTTATCCCTGCACTATTTAATAGTGTATTTTAAAGGTATATATGTGCTCTCTCTTTTTTTGGTTGATTTTTTGAATTCTAGTGTTAATTTTTTAGGAGGGAATTTATTGTCTAATTAATAAGAATCCTACCATTAAACACACTCCGTATTTGATACAATTACTCTTGCAATTTTTCTCTCTCTCCAATTCGATTTCAATTCTTTTGTAAAAAAAAATACCAATTTATATTTCATCACGTGAAATACCAATGTACGTAAAATAATAAAAAAACATTTGCATACCCTAATAATTATTTCTGCAGACTAATTCATATATCGATAATATAATCTTTTTAGTTAATATTGTAAAAAAGAAAAAAATTATATTATGGTGTTAATTGATATACAATCTGGTTTTATTTTATTTTTTTAAAGACAATTTTATTAGTATATAATTTGATCCCACACAATGGTGTACATTATTGTATAACATTGACGTTCACTATATATTATACCATTATAATGATAGACTATATATTTAAAATGATTTACAATACGTTGTAAAATTGATATTTTGTATATGTCTCAATATTAGAATGACTAACATTGTAATTTAATCAATTATGTACCAAATTTTTTCTTAGCATAACACATTTGATTATCAACTCAAATATATAGATCATATTTGATCGTTGCATCATATATCACCCCTGCAATCTTGATATTCACATACATTCCTGCGGCACAGTTTCATAAATAGTTAGAAACATTCAAACATATATCAATATATCAATATGTAAAATCATAATATAAATTATTTTAAAAAAATTGCAAAGCTACAATTTAATAAAAGTGTACATTATGGTGACAATTTGTTGTACACTCTGATATATAATGAACATACACCCACATTTACAACACAAACTAAGCAAGAATTACTATTTTATTTGTATAATAAATTTGATTAAACAAGTTTTAAAAATTTACACATTAATTATAGTGTACATGAATGATGTACATGTACTACACCAAGACATTTACCAAAAAAAAAAAAAAAACTAAATATCTAAATATATTCACTACACAATCATAAATGTAACAAATGGTGTTTTCAATTTAATTTTGTATAAAAGATTGGTTTAGTTTTTGGTATACAATGTGATGTATTTATATTAAAACGATAATCATATTGCTATACAAAATAACTTTAACTGTTGAGATAGTATAACAACTTGGTTGTTATTTTGGTATGAAATACACCAACATAAACTAATCAATAATTTAAACAATATAATTATTTTAAGATTTCAATGTATATACCTTAATCCAACCAAATATCACATACACCGCAAATATTAACTTAACTTGTCAGAAGTAATATATAAATATCAACAATTAATAAATAATTAAAGTGTTTGAATTTTTTATATTATTGTTAAGATAATTATTATTGTTATTGTTGTTGTTATTAATATTATTATTATTATTAAATCACCCAAAAAAAATAGAGTCCTTCGTACAATTTGCCTTTTATTCAGTTTTCTTTTTTAATTATTTTTAAAAATTGTATCTAAAAACAGGAAATTTTAAAATTAAAATTAGAAAACTGAAATCAATTTTTAGTTTTAGGAAGAAAAAAAAAACATGAAATTATTTAATTGGTTACTTTTTTTTTTCTTTTTGGTTAATTTTAGATACAGATTTAAAGATTTTTATATTATTTTTTGAATTTTTAAATTGTTGAATTTTATGGTGCTGACATGTGACACTTTTTACTTCTCCTATTATATATAGATAGATTATTATTATTATTATTATATAAATTTGTTTTGCTATAAATAAAGAGGTTGTGGAAAGATAGTTGAAAATATTTTTTCACAAAAAAAAAAAAGGAATCACACACGTTTAAATTAAAAACTATTTTAAAATCATTTTAAAAATAAAATAGCAATTTATTATTTAACCCTATTACATGTAATTAATCATTTTTAATTATTTAAAAAGTCTATTTTTGTGGTGCTGACACCTAGGCGCTATCACCTCTCCTATATATATACATACATCTAATAGAGTTGGAACTCTATAAAGGTCTTCCTCCTAACTCTTGTTAAATGATTTTTTAGAATATGCCTCCAAAATAAGATTTGTTGAGAAGGAATGCTAATGATTATTTGGAACCCAAAGTTCTTCGAGCACATGTGATCCTTTGGCTGAGCAAGTCACTCATCCCGAGTGTAGGGCTATTTTTCAAGTATTGTCTTAAGCAATGACGACTAAAGCCAATAGGGAAGTTGTAGCTCATGTAAGGCAACAACGGTAAGAGACTTTACGAGGATAAATCCTCTGAAATTCTATGGATCTAAAAGGTATGAAGATCCAAAATAGCTCATCAAGGGAATCCATAAGATTGTGGACATCATGGGAATAAATATGATAGAAAATGCAGATTTGACTGCTTACCAATTGAAAAGGATTGCTCAAGTTTGATTTGACTAATAGAAGGAAGAAAGGGCTATTGATGTGTGTCCTTTGGATTGAGACAAGTTCAAAGGGGCATTTCTTGATCGTTTCTTCCCCCTTGAGATGAAGGAGGATAAGGTGCAAGAATTCATTAACTTGAGGCAAGAAAACATGAGTGTGAAAGAGTATTCATTGAAGTTCACTCAAATTTTCAAGTATACTCCAATTATGGTTGTCAACTCTAGGGCAAGAATGAGTTAGTTTGTATTGGATGTGTCCGAGATGATGATCAAAGAATGTAGAACCATCGTTTTGATTAAGGAGATGGACATCTCAAGTTTGATGACTCATGCCCAACAAATTAAAGAGTAAAAGCTTAGAGAGAGGGCTTGAGAGTCAAAGAGGGCAAGAACGAGTAATGGCGATTTCTCTCACTCTAGGTCCGGTGGACATGGACGTTCTCAGTTTCGGCAAAAGTTATTCGATCATAATTCATCAAAAATTTTGGCTCAAAAGTTCAATAAGGATAGAGTGTCTTACCCTAAGTCTCAAGGTAGTTCTCCTAGTGCTCAAAATTTCACTGCATGTAAGAGGTGTGGGAAGAACAATAGGGGATAATGCTTCGGTTCAGGTGCATGCTTTGGTTGTGGAAAGTTGGGTCATAGATTGAGTGATTTCTCTTTGAAGGCTAGCAAGGGTAAAGATGGTCGATAAGCTCAGCCTAGTGCCTCTTCTGGTTTGGTGCTCCTCGTCATAATAGATTCTATGCTCTTCAGAATCGACATGATCATGAGGGTTTTCCACATGTGGTTACCGATATGTTACGAGTCTTTCAGTTTGATGTTTATGCATTGCTTGATGTAAGTGCTACTTTGTATTTTGTAACTCCTTATATGGTTATGAAGTTTGATGTCAAACCCGAAATCCATTTTGAACCATTTTCAGTCTCTACACCTATTGGTAACTCCATTATTACTAGAAGAGTTTATAGAAATTGCCTCGTTTCAGTCTCTCAGAGTCGCTTTGGTTGACCTTATAGAGCTAGACATGCAGGATTTCTATGTCATTATTGGGATGGATTAATTTCATTCTAGTTATGCTTCCATAGATTGTTGTATCCGATTGGTCACATTTCAGGTTTCGAATAAACCTATCTTAGAATGGACGGGTGAAAATTCAGCGCCTAAAGGTCAGTTTATCTCTTGCCTAAAGGCTAGGAAATGATCTTTAAATGGTGTATCTATTATCTTGTTCGGGTTAGAGATACAGATTCTGAAACCCCTACTCTTGAATCAGTTTTGATTGTCAATGAGTTTCTGAAAGTGTTTTCTGATGATCTTTCTAGTGTTACTCCCAAAAGGGAAGTATGCATCCATATTGACCTTTTTCCAGATACGCTATCT